AATGAAGGAAATAATTGTCCAAGGCACTGTTTAGGAAAGACGCGCACAGGTGACGGTGGCTACCCACAGCAAAGAAGGCGATCTTTGGCTTACTGTGGCTTTACACTTAAAATAAAAGGCATTCCGTAAAGGACATAGATAACCAAAAATACAAAAGTACAAATTATATGAGAATGGGCTTTATTGAAAAATCCGGCAGCAGCTTGAAGGGTTTTATGGTTTTTGATACATAAAAGGTTTGCCAAAGCTATGCTTTTGGCTTTGCACCTCTTGCAATTGTCAACGAGTCAATTATTTTTCAGTAGCATTTTTATTCACTGAATCTGCTTCGATATCAGAAACCTCATAATGAGTTATCAAATCTTAAGAACCAAATTAAGGGCTGCCGGATCAGTTTTGCTCTTTGCAAGGGTAGTAAGTTCCTTCTCTTTAGACGCGTTTAACTTTTGCGAAAATCAAGGTGAAAGCCAAATAGTTTATATAATTGTGCAGTATTGCTACGTATTTCTGTGTAACTATTTCAGTCTCTTAGATTGTGCGTATATTTAGATCTCTATGTATATTTTTATTTCGCCCCCCCCCCCCCCCCCCCCATTTTTGATTTGCCGACAAAGTTAATAGTCCACTAAAAACGACACCTTTTAAACACAGAAAAGTTTCATTCTTCACATGGCAGAAAAATGAGTTTGTTAAAAGAAAACGAGAAAAGCTTGTAGAAAACAAGAAAGCACGCCCTATATTGAGTGCACACTGTTCACCCAAATAACACCGAGAGTTACTATCTTCGCTTGCTTCTGCACTAGATTGGGGGCCCTTCAAGAGTATCCTCCAACCAATTGTCTAATTAGTTCCTAAACTTGGCTTGTTAGAGGACAACAAAGAGAGGGATTCGAAGCATAAAGGCACCTATGTGCAATGAATAATTTTTTCTCGAAAGATAAGCGGAAGAATTTCTTGATTTACTGATATACTTCAAATTATAAAGTTTTTTATTTAAAAACATGGGAAACGTTGATATATATGCAATTAAGTAAACTTGTACGTAGTATGTACATATTTACTTATGTGCATATGTATGTACAAATACATATGCAGCAGAAGCATTTTTTAAACTCGTACTATGCAACGCTAAATTTAAGTTGCTGGTTTTTTTCACGACAAATGCGTTAAACGCTGTTTTTCCAACCATGTTTGAGTATTTCATTGTTTCAGTTTTCGCTACAGCGGGTTTGTGTGGCCAAAAGTGTGTACCGTGGCATTCAAACGCATTGAAACATAGCTCCATTGTTTTAAATGGTTAATGTAAGGTAGTATAGTATTGTATTGTATGGTATCCCAGGAGTAAAGAAAGAGAAGAAAGCACGAAGCTCATGTAGACTGAACGAAATTCTTTAATCAAGGAATACTCGAATACTGAACGTTATTAATATTGAGTCAGATCGGTCTACTGTCTATAGTTGGTTTTGGCCAATAAGAAAAAGTATCCTCCAGATTTGCTAAAAATTTAAGAATCATCATAGATTAAAAATTTCTTGCTGGGTTCTGGCAATTTTTACAATGCTTCTCGGAGCAGAAGCTCCTTTGAATCTATTATACCAAAATTGCCATGAACCGCAGCTTTTTGGCTTTGTTAGCGGTTTGAATACTGCTATTATTTGCGGCGTTTCTCCTGCCTGGTTTCGATGCAATAATCCTCTTTACTGAAACCAACCACGAGACAAAGTGGCAATTTTAAATGAAATTGTTAGTTACATAATTGCCCGTTAATTATAATAGTGTCTACAGTGTTAAGCATCTGTCATACATTAAGGTTTATGTGTTAATGTACATACATTATGTGGACATAGTGGTTTCAAAAATATATACTCACACATCCAAAACAGAAATTGCTAGAAATAAAAAAGTTTTTGAGTGCTTATTTCTGTCATAGAATAATTATATTCTTTGACATACATACAATGCACGGCAAAGATATGTGCGCCTTTAGTTAACTTCCTACTAAATGTACGATAAATAACATCTTTCGGATTGTTTAATTTGACCGTTGAAACTTTGTATGAGATGTTAACTGTTTCTTATCCGATAACACGCCTATTTCTCTCATACACACATGCATATGTATATCATGCGACAGCGATAGCCGAGTGGTTAGCATTGCGTACTGCCACTCGGAAGGCCAGGATATGAATCAAGGTCCGACTAACATCCAAAAGTTATTGAAAATTAATTTAAATAAGAAATTCATAGAATAATTTTCTAATTGCGGTGCCCTTCGGCAAGGAGCATTATACCTTTCGAGTAAATTTCTGACATCATATAACGGATCCTCCTAAAAACAAGTTGGAATCGGCTCGTCCGGAAATCACTCCAGCGGTTACAAAGCAGTAGTGCTGGATGTAGAGTGACTAAAAGATCACGATCTTAACGACAGATATATAACCACTACAAGGGTGCTTTATTTAAAAAACGGACAGCTTGACACTTGATTTTGGACCGCTGGGAAATAAAGACCGCAAGAAAAGTGACCGCTTAGTTTTGATTCAAATCCGTTATTAATTGTTAAATCAATCTTATATACATAAATCTTATGTCATATACAGTATTTTCCAAAAATATCCTAAAGTTACCGACCGAAGGACTTAAAATTATGATTTCTGAGAAGGTTTTTTCACAAAGAAATTTTGGGAAGTGGACCGGGGACTGACCTATTCGAAAAAATTTTAGTTGTGCTTCTATTTACTTGAAATTCGGTGCATAGGTGTATTTTTGCTAAAGTTAACATTAAGACTACACTTCTCTGCGGAAAATGGACCGGGGACTGGCCTTTTCAAATAGTCCGGCTATTCCCCTCTCCGGGGAGTGGACCAATGTCAATGGTAAAACCAAAAATTTTGTATTCCCCCATGTATTGAGTAAATAAAGTTATCATAAATATATTCCCATTGGCGGGGACTGTACCTACGATTTGGAGCTTGGTCCGGATTTTCACCCATAATAAAAAAGGAGCAGACATTAAAAATACTGCAATACCACCAAAAGTGCAATTTATTCACTTGAGGGTAAATTTTTACACTCATGAAGATGCAAAGAAGATGATAAATGCGCTAATATCTTTAAATTGGCAATATTTCATTAGAATCTAAAATTTCGTGACTTGAGGACCGTACTTAACCAAAGCAAAAAGACGAAAAGAATAAAGAAGTGTAGTAAGAACGAGAATGTGAGATAAAGAACTGATAAACCTACTAAGAAAGGAAAGTAAGCCATACATAAGCAGAGACTGCAAGAAGAAAGTTAAAAGAAGAGAGTGAAGTGAAACAGCTAATAACAAGAATTAGTAAACAGTAAGTGAAAAATATGCGAATAAAGGAGAAACATGTGTAGTTACATTATTTGAAGGTGAATGTAGAAGACGCAGACGCAAAATACAGAGGAAAAATGGAGAAGAGAAGTAGAGTAGAGGAACTTTAGAGAAAGTGAACTGGAAAATAATGCTATTTGGAATTGACGAGAGAGATTTAATTGCAATAAAAAACTTTGTTATGAGATTTAAAGACACGAAAGCATATACGATATAAAAGGTAGTTTCATTTTCTCTTTCCAGTCGGCTTCATAGCTATCTGATATTAAAAAAATCTACACTTTTTTTTGGAGAATTTTCGTTATTGTTTAAATGTTTAAACGTTCACAAATTATACTGTATTTTCTAACCCTTTATAGCGGACTTCGGCGTGTGTATCCCTTTCATAATTGTTGGTAAATTGTAAAAAAGTATCAGAACGGGAAGAGACTCGCACATGAAAATTTAAATCGAATTCAAAAGGATGTCAAGCAAATAAGCACAGATGAAACAAGATTATTGATTATATTGTAGTTGGCATAGTTTTAACAGAACATCGGGTAGTTTTAGGAAAAAGGCGGTAGTAGAGGTGCCAATATACGAGAACAAGAGGGCAAAATTAGAAGCAGTAGAATAGAAACCAATTAAGAAAGCTTCCGATTCGCAGCATGAGTGGTATAAAGAGGTATAGCTGATTGAAAGATAACACTTAGAAAATGATATGGTAAAAGAGATTAAGAGTGTTGCCGACGAGTATACACCGATAGGAAATCCTGAATCACCTGTTTTTCATAGACCGAGGCGCATGCCAGAAAATTTTTTGAAATGGAGTAATACAACATAGTAGTTCGAAATATGTATTACCGGCGGTAGCTGTTCCGAAGACAGGTGGTTGTGACTACAGACGATTAAATCAAAATGTGCCTGTAGAAGCTAAAGCAAAGAAGTATATATGTTTGTATTTAGAAATGCCCAATATGAGTTTTGTATCGAACTTGATATCTAATTCTCGCGGATTTTTGTAGTTTAGTGAAGGGTGCGTTTCGGACGTTAACCTGAAAGGACACACCAGCTACTTATATGGACGGCTTGATTATTGCTTCGAAAGATGAAGACAAAATAGAACTTTACAAATTACTGAAGACAGCAACAGTGAAGAACGAGCGGATGTATTAGCGATTATCCAATCGTTAAAGAGGAGGAGAATTTATCTGTAGCGTTTTTAAACGCGTATATTACAGAACTAAATGAAGATCGCAGGGCAATATGAAAACAATCTCAAAAATTTATTTCAAAAATCCAATACCCTAGTTGTTTGTACTTACACGATCACTATAAAAACAAACAACAAGAAAAAACATGAGGGGACAGAAAGATTTCTACGGTTACGGAAAATTAGAAAAGATGAACCAGCCTAAGGGTTATTGACACCCGGCCGGCCGTATGTGACGTTCCATGTGGAGTAATGAATAGATGACAAGACTAAACTAAAAGAAATACGAACGAAAAAGATCGACTCCAAGGGACTGCTTATTGCAAAACGTACAGCTTGACACCTAAAATCTGACAGCCATGAAGTAAAGACCGCAAGAAAAGTGAACGTTTAGTTTTATTTCAAAATCCATAGCTTCGATAAATTCTAAATTATTAATTTAATTATTAAATGGAGACCTAAAGATAATTAGCAATTGTTTTCATCGGTGATTATTCGTTTATATATGTATATACAAAAATTTAAGAAAATATCGGCACCAAATTTCGTTGAATATCGTTACGTGGTTTGTGAAAAAGGTGGTTGCACGGCAATTAAGAAAACATCGTTGGTAAATATTTTTACCTTTGTTTGTATTTATTATTAATCAAATGATTTTAAATTTGGAATAACCAACTTTATTAGTTACAGCGGCTTCCTCATTTTTATGCAATACGAATTCATAGTCCCACCATCAAGTTTTATACATTTTATATCTCAATTATTATAAGCCGGTACAAGCAATCAGTACATAGTTAAAGCTTATTTCTTACGCACACAGTAAGTGCCATTTCACATAAATACATGTAAGCATATTAAATTAGTTTCCTCTTAAACATCGAGTGAAGGTTTGAAAACGGCAGAAAAAATAAAAGTTGTTGCCAACTACAGGTACGCTTGGGCAAAATGCAAATGCAAAATTAAAACATTAAAAATTATAAGTATACATATATATTAATGAGTCTAATTGTGAAAAATCAAAAACTTAAGCAAAACGATATTTTATAGTTTCATACATTCTAATAGCCAAGGAAAATGTTTTACCTAAAAATTTAAATTGATTTTATGAATCTTACCGTACAGACAAACAGAACGAACAATATAAGCAATGAACCTGTGTATGTAAGCCTTGATGCAAAAGTCGATGTATTTCGATACGTGCAAAGGGTGTTAACTATTTCCATGTTAAACTAAACTACACGAATTTCGCGGATTTAATGGATATCAAATATATCTGTGTATGTGATTAGTATCATAGGATTTTTTTTAACAATAGTACGAGTGTAAAAAAAAATATTTACTCTTGCCGATAGTAGTAGATTTTAGAGTAGTTTAGAACATTTACATTTTATATTCAAAAATTTAAGACGTTAATATATGTGTCAAGAAGGCTTCGTTAAATATAAGACTGAGTTCATATACGCTGCCATTCTAGTCCTCAGAACTTGATTTCAGGCAAACAACAAGCAGAATACTCAAAACGAGTCAATCAAATCAATTCGTGAGACGACGTGACCAGGCTACCTCCGGGGCTATATGTATTATATATGTATCGCATACATACAATCGTACAAATATATCTAGGTTATTTTTAGATAAAAATTGAAATTAAGTATATTAATAATTTAATTGTACGTACAAGTATGTATATAATTTATATATCTCACTGTATATATATAAATGTTTTGCCTTAGAAAATCTCCAAAAGTTAATGACCGATTGGTTTGAAATTTTGTCAGATTGTCTCTATGGTTTCTTTGTAGGTTTATACGAAGACATGTTTACCAGAAGCTGGCCTTTCACTCAATTTACTAGAAACGCTGTTCACAAGTGGTCTCTTGCTTGGATTAAAAAAAAAACTACTCATCTCCCGGGTCGTACTAACATCCAAAAAGTAGATAGAAAATCAATTAAGCTAAATTTTTTAATTGAGGTCGTCCCTTGGCAGGGAATTTCAACCCCTCCGACTGTATTTCTGACATTTATATCATGTCCTCATAAAATAACCATCAGCCGTTCGGAGATGGCTAAGTATAAACTGTAGGTCCCACCATTTGAAGGAAAAGCATCAACATGCCAAAACAACAAATTGAAGAAGGTGCTCAGCCGAAAATCGCTTGGAATAATAGTTTAGGACTTTTATGCTTATACAGTTAAATTTTTAGAATTAACTTTACGCTAGATACTTAAGGTTTGTTTGCATTTGCAACATTTATTCTACATAAAATTTCTGGAAAATTTCCTAAAAGTTCCATCAACGGATTAAAATGATAATAAAATATGTACAAATATTATCATTGTTGAAAGCACAAATCTTTGAATGTTATAAGAGTAGGTTGCTATACGCTCCGGTATGCCAGTGTCAAATAAATAAATGTTCGAGTTATGATTGCCTTCATAGATATTCCTACTTGTATTATGATTTTCACACCTAATTCGCCTATACAAACATGGAAATGGAAAGCACATGCATAAACAAAAATAAAGTTAATTCAGGCATACAATTCGCTTCACTGCTTAAAGAATTTGCGTGACATGCTCTAGGGTAATTTCATACATATGTCACAACATCACAAGCAGATGATGTTTAACTTGAGAGATGACAGACACTTTTTACTTCAAAGCTTGCGTTTTTGTATGCGGTGAAGTCAAACTTATGTAAAATTCATTCAAATTGGAATTGGCCAAGCCCACGATACGCATTTAATAGCTAATTAACAATTTGTTGAAATTGTATTTATGTTTATTCAAAAACTTACATTCGTGAGTATTACGCACGCTTCTTTTAGACTTATATTTACTCTTACCCAGCCTTGTAAATATGTAACACGGCTAAGGTATTAAAGAGTTACTCCAGATAAGGCATATATGTTGAAAGAGCTGACTAAAATGCAACAGCCCCTCCAGCAGTCGAGTCATTTTAACGGACCGACTCAGGAGTAAATTACAAAATTTAAAATATTTTTATTAAAGCATATCAACAATTTTATTTGCAGCATTTACATTGCTATTCAAATATGTATGTATGTACATATATGATACTCATGTGGTGTTGTTAGAAATTCTCGTCCTTGCTTTGCCGTACATTGCTTTTATACAATGGCGTATACTTGTTTGAGGTGCCTTTGGGGAGGGCACAAAGACTGGGGGCTAAAACATTCGCCACACACGCTGTATTTAGACAGTGATTATTCACAACTCATTCATTGCCGAAAAGTGACTAACAAATATAAAGAAATAGGCCTACATACATACTTTTAATAAGGAAATAATAACTGAGCCACAATAGACCGAATATCATTTGCTTATGACTTACCGCGAAGTATTGTAGTTAATTGAGTTCTAATTATTTTAGATATAATCAAACCGTCCTCAAATATGTAGCCATCAATCAAACTGACTAAAAATATGAAGAGAGCTTAGAGAAAAAAGTGAGAAACAATCGTATATTTCCCAAAGCGAAATATGGATAATTTCAAAATTAAAGTAATACGGAGTAAAAATTTGTTAATTATTCGAAAATATAACATGACTAATTTCTTATTGTAATTATATTTTGGTGAAGCAGAATACTCGTACGTTATAACCACAATTATTTCGGAAGTCAAAAAACTTTTAAATTTAAAAGGTAGAAAAGTACAGTTGAAACTCACTGAATGCATGTGGAAGTTTATGGTGAATGTGCGTCTTCTTCTGATTGATGCAAAACGATATTTACGACTATAACTTGTGCGTTTGAGCTGTGCATTGTGTGAAAACCTGCCAGAAACCACCGAAAGGTGGTTTTGCAACATGACAAAAACTACGTGGAAATGCTGAAATGGGCGGTCTTACAACACTAATCGTATTCACCAGACACTTTCTTCCGACTGCTAACTTTTTCCAAGGGAGGCAAAACGATTTTAGAGGTCGGGTCTTTTGAAGATATCGAAAAATGGCTCAATGATCGGAACGCGGACAGAGAGGACTCGTGTTTTAGATTTGGTATTCAAAAATTACCAGAGCGATGGACAATACTTTGAACGATGTATATTTATACCTTTCTAATAAAAAACACACAGTTTTGTGCACGAAAAAGGACCAAATTAATTTGTTCTTCCATAATTTAATTGTTCTCCTTCGTATATGATTGCCAATTTAGAAAAGTTTCCAATTTAATGCGCAAATTTATTTGAAATATAGAATTATTTACACTTACATTTTTATTTGAATTGTGTAAGTATTTTATTATATTAATTTTTATTTGCAAATAACCGTCTTAATGGAGGTTTAGCGATCGAATTAATATATAACATTCTACAAACGATTATATATTTTATTTACATTTAATTTTTGGAATAATAAGCGATACTGAGTAGGATTGCAGATAGGTTTACTTTAATTAGGATCATATTCGAGGTGAGTAATTCAGGTAAAAACGGATAGTTGACGGATAATGATGTGATTATAAGCCCTGGTAGGTAAATATAAATATATAGAATATATTGTATAAAGTCATTGTTGACATATTTAAATTATGATGATTTTTGGAGCAGAGATCATATAATTTCTACAATAACTCAATAAGGTTCATGTCTTCAACATGTGTCCTATTCTATTGGTTATTTAGATATGTTTGATGGTTATTGCCAGTATCTGGAAATCGTAAAGTTTCAGCCCTTTTCAATGAGCAAGTATGTTGGTGGGTTCCCCAACGGGGTGAGATAAATATCAAGAGATGAAAAGGGAAGCAAGACGAATCTACAGACAAAAAAAGGGGCCGAGATGCATGAGTATGAAGAGCTTGAGAAGCTGAACAACAAGGATAATGCTCGAAAATCCTATGAGAAGATACGATGACTTACGGAAGGTTTCAAGAGGGGATCAGACCCTCTTAGGACAAAAGTACATTGAATTTATGGAGGAAACACTTCTCCAACCTGCTGAATAGTAGCGAAAATGGAGAAAACGTAATGGAAAAGACGTTCCATTACCTGACCATGAGGAAGTTCGAATAGCAATCGCCCGTTTAAAAGACAATAAAGAGGCAGGAGCTGACGGCCTACCGGCAGAACTATTCAAACATGGTGGTGAAGAGCTGACAAGGTGCATGCATCAGCTACTCTGCAGAATATAGTCGAACGAAAGCATGCCTGAAGATTGGAAAAGGAAACCCCATATTACAAGACGAAATATCACCTGCCATCGTAGGGCAAGGAACAAGGAATTATCCTCTATGAGCCGTACGGCCAAACTCTTAATTCGTTTCTCTGAAGGAGGCAATCGCTCAGAAGCGTCTAGCCTTGATTAAAAGGAGGGAAATGTGTGATTATCGGGACAACGTCAGACCTAGCACACAATCGATAGTGACTCGCCTGAAGCTCCGAAAACTTGGTTGAAGGTTCTTTTTGGGAGTAAGATATTTTAGGGGGTTTTGTTTATATCCTCGCTCGAAGAATTGGTTTTTCTCTGTATTTTATTGTGTATTCATTTTTGCTGTGTTCTTGTGGGGGTTCTGTTGCTACGGCTGCTACTTTTTATTGATATTTAGCGAATGCATGCGCTAAGTAGATGTTTTTTAATTAATACTGTTTATTTCGATAGCTGAATATAGAGTTAAAAGCTGCTGGCGTACGCCGACGAAGGATATGAGTCTAGTAGAGAACGAGTGCAAGGCAAAATATATTCTGCCATCAAACAGGTCCGTCTTGGAATCCAACTCTGATTTTCATTGAGTAGGCAAATGACAAACGAAGACCAATTTCAACAAATCGCTCATCGTCCAGACCTTGAATATCTCTGATATTTTTCAGCTTCTTATTGTAAGTAATATATATATAAACGGTGCTCAAGATTTTTTAATAATTTCCTTTTCAGCACGATTAACTTAAATTGTAAATGGTAAGGGTGTGTGAAGTAAGTTGATGTACGTATGTATTCATTTGTGAACTTTTAATTAGGGATAAGTTTGTACATTTATTTAGCGGTAAGTACTTTTTATTATGTATTATGTATTATATACACACAAATTTTTTGTAATTCCTTATTTCTTTTTTTTATTAGCACTTTCGCACAACGGAATCAATTATAGAAATAAAAATTTAATTAAATATATATTTCCACCTTAACACGTTTTTCTTTATTTTTGTATATATGTAGGGCCAAATAAAAGTCACTTTGTTCATTCGGATTTACATTTTTTATTTTATTTTTTTGTTAGTTCAAAATTCACTTTCATTTATTCGATTTTACATTTTTTATTTTTAAACACAACGATAGACGTCTGTATCTGTCCGTGGTCGCGCAGTAACTGTCGTTTTTTGTTCAGTTCGTTCGTTAGTTCAAATTTTATGTCCGGGTTTACGTGTTGTCAGTATCAGTGTTGTATTCGTTCGTCAAAGTTACTTAAAATGTCCTAACGTGCTGTTCACACGTTCCCACATATATATATTAAAATATAACTTTTGTTTGTGTGAATGTATTTACATATGCACAACATATGTGTTCTCCAAAGCAACACTAAATTGATTTATTGGATTGAATTTGCGAACAGCTTTGAAGTAGCGTCATTTCGCTCGCCTTTGATTAACGCTAAGGGTCGCGTTTAATTAATTCGATATACTTTTACAAATAGTATTAAAATTTGTAATTACAGGTATTTTCTTCTTTTTAAATAAAACGCAATTTTTCATCAAATTCTGAAGGATTTGCAAATACGTATTTATTGTTTAAATATTTGATTACATTATTTGTATTTTTACCCAACCGTCTTATGTAGTTTTAGCGAGCGGATTTATAAGTAACATTCTACATACATATTTTATTTACATTTCATTACTGAGATAATAATGGAAGGTTTACTTAGGAGTATATTCTAGGTGGGTAATCAATGTAGATGGGTATATAGGTAAGTATATATGTACTTATATAAAAAATAAATGTTAAAATACTATCATCACAATGACTTTCGACGATCAGATTATATGATTTGTAGCGAAATAAGGTTCATATATTCAACAACAATAATTTCAATATTAAAACAACAAACAGTCATTTAGTGTGTACACTGTACACATATACATACGCGTACATACGGCACAAACGTGTGGTCAACAATACGCTCTCTTTGGAATGCATATTTTTGCAGATACAGGAACTGCATGAAGCCCTCTACCGTGAAATTGCAAAACTTTTTAACGAAATTGTTAATTTGCAAAGTTATATTGAAAACCACTGCAGTTGTTTTTCTTATTACACACAACTCTATATATACAAAACTAAAGTTTAAAATATATGAATGTAGATTTTTACGAGAAAATACTTAATTTTTTTTAATAAAATACTGAATGAAGCAAAATACTGAGCAACAACAAAGCAAGTGCAATAAAAGCAAATGCATTTAAGCGGATTTATTGAGTTGAAAATGGGCATAAGTATGTAAGAGTGCATAGAAGACATAATATAAAAACGAGACGAGTTAATTTAGATATTTCTGGGTATCTTTGCAGTTTAAGTTTTACAAACTGCTTGAAGAACAATTCCGGGTCTTATTTTTTAATACATGTAATATATAAGAAAAAACTCTCCCTGTTTTACAACAAGTACTGGTTATTTTACAACCAAATACTCAAAACCTATGTAGTTACATATTAAATTAATATACATTACATAAAAGTGAAAACATTTAGATTTTAAATTGATACGAAACAGAGAGATAAATCTATGTAAAAAAATTTTCGAACTATAGTGGTTGTTGGTAACCTAACAGTATTCGGCCGTTGAGGTGTTGCTTAAATTCATTTTATTATTTGATTTACTAGTTTGGTGAGCTCTACCTGACTACGTCAGCTGCAAGTACCTAATAGGCGGTTCCTGATAGGAGGAGACGGCTTAAAAGGCCTGACCTACCAAATGAATCGTCGCGATGAGATGAATATAAATATAATTAGAGCTTTGTAAACGCTGAAGCGATTGTCGATCGAACTCCTTTTCAAATTTGTGGTATGGATCTTTATGTTTTCCCTACAAATGGAGGGACTTATAGTTTAAAACAAGGCCACCTCCGTACAACCGATGGGGGTTAGGATGAGCTTTTAATTAATGTCACAAATACACTCGAAGGGCTTGACGTTCTATTCCTTGACATTCGCAATTAGAATAGTTAATTTTGGTCCAATCCTGACCATCAGAATATCAGTAACCAACCCTCAGATGCCACCTGAAAATAAGCATCCACAACCCTGTAGGAGTTGCTCGGAAGGATTACCTGCCATGAAAGTAAGTTAACGCGACCAAAGACCAATCCCTGAGGTCGGACTTATCAGAACTTAGATCAGTAAGGTCTTGATTACGGCATACTGGAAAACTGCATGAATCAGATTGCTTTTAATCTATTGGAGAAAAGGGGTTTGAAGAAGAGAACCACTAAAATTGAATACACCATAAAAAAAATTAAAACAACCAATAAGAATCAGTAGAGTACGGAGAAAAAGAACAAATAAAAGGAGAACACAAGGACTTAAAGAGCGTCAAGAAGAGTAGGTATTTTTTTTTTTTTTTGTATTAGGAGATAAGTGAAAAAAGAGGCTCTCGAGAAATGCCAGGCCTTTGCCCACAAATTGAAACAAACAATGAATAAACAAAAAAAAGTTAGCCTTGATGTCAAAAACGACGCGGCGCAGTTTTAAAAACTTGTTATAATTAAAAGCTACAAGCAAGAGAATAGCTGAGAAAAAACAGAAAAAAAAAGAAATCCTGGAACCAGTTATTCAAGTAATTGGAGAGGCCCTCGCATATTAAAACAGGCAGAATTCGGGTAAAAGAAATTACGGGACTAGACATTTAGACGACTAGAAAGCGAAGAAATTACATCTGTCATAACAGTGGTCTCAAGCTACAAATAGAAGACAGAAACAAACAGAATGAACATATAGTAACATCTAGAACTACAAACAGCAGCAAGCAAGCTAAAATCCAAAAAATTACCAGGCTCAGATGGAATATCCTCTGAAGTCCTGAAAGACATTGCCTTAAATCGGCCTAATTTACTTCTAAATATGTTAAAAATCAGCCTGAAAAGAGCACTTTT